ATGGAGGCGGGGTCGGGGCCCCCGGGCGGCCCGGGATCCGAGAGCCCCAATCGGGCGGTGGAGTACCTGCTGGAGCTGAACAACATCATCGAGAGCCAGCAGCAGCTGCTGGAGACCCAGAGGCGGCGCATCGAGGAGCTGGAGGGCCAGCTGGACCAGCTCACCCAGGAGAACCGCGACCTGAGGGAGGAGAGCCAGCTGCACCGTGGGGAGCTGCACAGGGACCCCCACGGCGCACGGGACAGCCCCGGCCGCGAGAGCCAGTACCAGAACCTGCGAGACACCCAGTTCCACCACCGCGAGCTGCGGGAGAGCCAGTTCCACCAGGCGGCCCGGGACGTGGGGTACCCGAACCGGGAAGGCGCCTACCAGAACCGGGAGGCGGTGTACCGGGACAAGGAGCGGGACGCCTCCTACCCGCTCCAGGACACTACCGGTTACTCAACCCGAGAGCGCGACGTGGCCCAGTGCCACCTGCACCACGAGAACCCAGCCCTGGGTCGCGAGCGGGGCGGGCGGGAGGTCGGGCCAGCGCACCCTGGCCGCGACAAGGAAGGCGGCTATTCAGCGGCGGTGGGCGTGGGGCCTCGGCCACCTCGGGAGCGGGGCCAGCTGAGCCGTGGCGCATCCAGGAGCTCCAGTCCTGGGACCGGCGGCGGCCACAGCACCAGTACCAGCACCAGCCCGGCCACAACCCTCCAGAGAAAGTAAGGAATGTGTGTTTATAACCCCCTGCTCTTCCCATCTAGTGCCCTCTCCAACTTGTCCAGCCGGTAAAGTAAGAACCTGGTGCCTGATTCCATGTCCTCCTCTCCTGCCCCAACCTGTTAGAAGAAGCCGGGGGCCCCCCATGCAGCAAATGCCCCTTCTCTAGCCACCCCAGACTGGGTTGGCCTGGTGAGAGCAGGCGTCTCTTCTTTCTCAGAACCATGGCCAGTGAGAGCCTACAGCAGTCATCACCCCTCCACTTTTTCACTCCCTAGCTGTACCCTTGCCAGAGGATAGCTTCCCACTTATTTATTTATTTATTTTGGATGTATTTATTGTCTGTGAAGGTGCCAACTCAGAGCCCCAAGGAAAAGATCCCCCTTTTTTTGCCTGCTGGGGTCTCCTCTGCAGGTCCTGAGTGTAGGCCTGCTCTTGTCTCCTCTGGCAGCCTCAGCTCCATCCTTTCCCAGAGAGGCAGGTGGGGACCAGAATGGCTGCTGGAGGCTGAGACATCCATCTGAGGGGAACTGCAGCACATCCTGGCCTGGGGGGCAAAGATGGAAGCCTGGCCTTTGGCTAGTTCCTCAAAGACCACCCCCTGTCCATCCTCAAGAGAAACACCACCCAGTTAAAGAGCGGACAAGGAAGAGAAGTCTACAGAGCTTCCCTCTTGTTGGATCAGTGCCAGTTCCTGTGCTGGGGTCTGTGTGTCTGCCTATCTGAGACACCTTGGCGTTATCTCTTGGGTTGGTGGGCCATAGGCTGGGTCCACTTCTTCCATGCACATACCACAGTAAGCTGGTCAGGATAAATGTCAGGCTGAGAGAGCCAAGGACATGCAGGCTCACAGGGCTGCCCTAAAGGCTCCCTGATTTCTTTTCTGCTCCATTGGAAAGAACACTGAACTGGGAGTTAGGAGACTTGGGTTCCCCTTCCAGCTCTGCTGCAGATTGGCTTTGTGACCTTGACTGAGTGCCTTCCTCTCTCTGGCCATCAGTTCACCTATATCTTTTTCAAAGGCAAGGTCTGCCTTAAATGTTCTTTAAGGGCCACTCCAGCTTCAATTTGATGGTTCTGTGACTAATCCAGCCACACTACAGAGCAAGTCTGAAGTCCTCTATCGAATGGACAGCCTTCCCCCTCCTCTCACTGCTCAGCTGGTCCTACCATGTGCCACAACCAGTGGAGTGTCTCTTGGAGGCTGGGCTGGGGGTGGGGAAGCCTTCTGCCTCAGGAAATCTGCCGGGAGACAGCTCTCTGCAACTCCCCCGTGGTGAGGCAGCAGACTGGGGTGCTGGGTTGAGATGGCTGGGCCCCAGAAGCAGCAGCTGCAGCTCCAGGGCCCGGCTGGGCTTCACTGGCTAGGCTTCACTGCAGTGCACTCTCAGCTGAGTTTTGGTGTGGACTGTCCCAAAGTAGTCAGTCTGGGGGAGAGGGAGATAGGCTCTATTGCCCAGGCGGGGCTGCTGGGAGCCCATTCCTGGAGGACTGACTGCATGCAGCTTGGAGCTCCACGCTGGAGGAAGGATCTGGATCGACCAAGAACGGTCTTGGTCTTCTTTCAGGAAAGGGCCATGATAGGGTGACGGCAGAGGGAGACTGGATGGGCATTGTGGTCCTCAAGCCTGGCTGCGGACTTTTCTAGAGTGGTCAGGCCTGTGACAGAGGAAGCAGCCTCATTATGTGTGGCTCCAGGGAGCAGAACCAAGAGCAGTGGGAAAATGTGGGATTAAATCTGGAAGAACTTTCCAACCTGGCTGTCTGGTGATGCAGTGGACTGCCTCAAGAGGTGGGGGTGGGGGCTAGTTGGACGTGCCCAGCAGAGGCCCAGTGGGGGTCGAGGAGAGATGGAGAAAGCACAATTCCTGAATCAAGTGTAAAGCCCAATGAAATGACCTGGCCTCCCCCGATTCCAGGATTCCATGACGCTCAGATTCTCCATCCTGCAGACGTAGGTTTGAACCTCCTGGCTGGCTGGCAGCCCATTTGCTCTTGAGCTCTGTGTGTCTGCTGTCCACGCAAATCAACCTCTTGCTCTTTCCCAGTTCTTGTTGGATTTCCTGGCTTCACATTTCCTACAGGATTAATAAGGGGATTTAGATAGTTCTTTGAATTTCTCATAACCACATATTAAATATTTGCACCTCCATTATTTCCTCTTCTATTCTCACAACAGGCCCTGTGCAATGAGCACTAATAACTCCATTTTAGAGATGAGGAAACTGAGGCTTCAAGATGAAGGGACCTTGCTCAAGGTTATGCTACTAGTTCCTAATGGAGCTGGGACTAGAACCCAAGTCCACCTGTCTTCAATGCCTGTTATTTTTCCACTGCAGCTTTCCGACCCACAGGAATCTCTTGGCCTCAGGATGTGGCTGGGTCACGAAAACTGGGAGAGGCCAGGGGAGCCTTAGGTATCGAGAATTTGATCAGGATGAGTGGGGGAGTCGACGGGGGAGGGAAGAAGGCTGTGTCTCCCTCCTTTCCACTCTGCCTCCTGGCCAGGCGCTGGGAGGGCCTGTTGATGATGCAGTAGCCATTGCTGCCGCCACGGCTGCTGCAAGTGACTCCCCTGCCAGGCCTGTTCTGGGTTTATAGAGTGGGTGAGAAGGCTGCCGCTGGAAGCTAGGGCAGGCAGGGTGGGAGTTTAGCAGCAGAGGCTGCAGCATTGGGGGAGGATAGGTAGATGCTGGTACAGGCTGGGCGCTCCTGGTCCCCAGGCTCCCTCTGGTGGAAGAAGAGGGGAGAGAGGGGCCTGGGTCCAGCTGCGGCTTGTTGAGGGCCCCCTCTCCCTAGGGACTTATTGAATCCTCCCAGTGACCCTGTGCGTCTGTGTACACAATGAACATTTTACAGCTGAAGCAACCGAGGGCTCAGAGAAGGGAAGCGACACAGCAGAAATCACACTACCCATAAGACAGACTCCCGATCCTGTGAACTTTCCCTCTACTGCAGTTGATAGCAGCTGTCACATCCACCCCCATCTATGTCATCCCCCCAGGATTCCCACATCCTCCCGCACTGTCTCTTCTGGACAAGTTCCCGGATGCCAGTATGCCTTCTGCTGTGCTCTGGGTGTGGCCTTTCTAGTACATCAGAGGGCGAGATGAGGCCCGACCTCCTTCTGGTCTCTTGGTCCTCTGTACACGAGGGCGTTGCTTATTTGTTTGTTTGTTTATTTGTTTAGTAGCTGCCGGTTGCTACCAATGCTCAGGTCTTTTTCCCTGGAATTGTTGTCCCCCCCCCTCCCCCCAGGGCAGATGACTAGAGAAGAGCCCTGCTTTCTTTGTTGATCTTGGCCTGGCTCCCCTTGCAGGTCAGGCACCTGGAATGATTTACAGGCATGCTGGGGGCCACTGCTGAGCTGCTCTACACTGAAGAGAGCTGTGTTCCCCACGCTTTGTGCATGGGCCCAGCTCCGGCGCTCTGCTGTAGGTGGTGGTGAGCTGAAGCTGGTTTGGTGGTAACTCTCCATCCTCTGCCC